CCCTCGCAGGTGCAGTTCACAATAGGGTTCACACTTCTATGAGAATCTAATGTCACATTTGATCTGACAGAACACGGAACTCAGGCAGTAATGCCAGTGATGGGGAACAGCCATAAATACAGATGAAGTTTTGCTCACTCACCCGCTGGTCACCTCCTGCTGTGTGGCCTGGTTCCTAACAGGCCACAGATCAGTATCGGTGTGTGGCCCGGGGGTTGGGGACCCCCATCCTAGAGGCGATGACTCTTTGAATTATGGAAACATAGTTCTCCAGTGGTAAAAAGCAGCAAAGAAGATATTGCCCTCAGATTAATGATGGTCACACGTGCAAAAAAAAAAGGTATGTTCTATTTAAATACCCCTAGGAGAGCAGCTGTTAATACAGACGAAGCTAGCCTGGGCTCACCTCCTGCTGTGTGGTCTAGTTCCTAACAGGCCATGGACCTGTGGCAGTCCATGGCCTCCGGGCTGGGGACCCCTGCCTTAAGGGTCCTGGAGACCCTACCTGGGGTCTGGGAGATCAAAACTGTTTTCATAATTATATGAAGATATAATCTGCTCCTTTGGCTCTCATTTCTCCTGAGAGTGCAGTTCTCTGGAGGTTCGGTGTCAAGCAGCATCATAACAGCCTGACCGCTCACGTTCATGTGAGAACCCAGCTGTCTTCTATTACATTAAAGACATTTGCAGCAATGTAAAACAAGGCCACCTTTCTCACTTTCTTGTTTCTTAAAATATAGTTTTAAAATAAAACTGTTATTTATGTTAATATGAAATGTATTTAGATTTATTTTTAGTGAGTTAGCAAATATAACACCTTCCCTATCCATCCCTTATTTGGAGTCCACAAGGCAGAAAGTACATTTACCTGACTTTAAAGCACATATTTCTTGAGAAAGCCAAAAACTGACCCCTGCCCGAAAGTCAAGAACGTAACAAAGAGTCTAGCCTGCATACAATATAAGGACAGGATACCTCTCCCAATCTCCCCACCCCAGCCACTTCCTTACTTCCAGTGCACTTGGTAGAATGCTTCTGTCTCTGCCCCATGTTTACATTGTTTATAGTGTTGATGGAGCCTGGAGTAACAATAAATAATGTTCCACTCCACTCACTTTATTATGTATTTTTGGAATGAGTATAACCAGTAGAGTCTTCCAGGGACCTCATTCTCCCAGAGACAGGTGACCAGACCTGGGCAGTTGGCTCTTAGGAACCTGAAAATAATCACTCAGCCTACAGAATAATCATTTACCTGGTTACAGGTAGTCACTGGCCACTGAAGCTTATATGTTTTTCATATTCTAGAAACACTACATGCTTTCTCTGACACCCACAGCTCACTTGCCGGTTCTCAGCACCCACTTTCCCACAGGCACAGAGAGAAACACACATTTACAGTACGTGTGTGTGTGTGTATATATATATATATATATATATATATATATATACACCCACATAAGCTCAATAAAAGAAAATTAGAAACTGTCTATATCTATAGAAAAATGCACATCCATGTTCTATAAACAGACACCAACATGACAAAGGGAACAGAACATTTATGCCTTTTAAATAAACATTTATTACCTTTTGAAAATATGTATCCGGGTCAGGTGTGGTGGCTTATGCCTATAATCCTAGCACTTTGGGAGGCCAAAGCAGGAGGATTGCTTGAGCCCAGGCATTCAAGACCCGTCTAGGCAATAGAGTGAGACCTCTTTTCTACAAAAATAAAAATCAATAAAAAATTGGCCAGGCATGGTGGCATGCACCTGTAGTCCCAGTCACTCAGGAGGCTGAGGCAAGAGGATCACTTGAGCCCAGGAAGTTGAGGCTGTGATGAGTGGTGAGGGCACCACTGCACTCCAGCCTGGGCAACACAGTGAGACACTGTGTCAAAAGAAAAAAAAAGAATAGACAGACCTATGCAAATTAGCTTTACATTTCAAAACAATCAATTTTTTATTTATTGCTTTATTGTTGGTGCAGGTGGAAAAATCTGAGTGTCTGGGTGTCATGTGCTTACTCTACAAATATGTACTGGGCGCCCACTAAGTGCCAAGTATGGTGTCACACATAATGCGGTCAGCTGGTTTATGAAACAGACCCATTTCTGCCTCCATGGAGTGTATAGTCTAGTAGATGGAGACAACATCGAGTGTCACAATATCAACAAATGAGTAAGTTCTACACAATTCAGGGTGCTCTGAGAGCATATCATGGGGACCGCAGTCACCCGGAGACCCAGGGAAAGCTTCCCTGACAAAGTCACACTTGAGCTGCACAGACACCATCTGCTCCAGGTTATGTAACCCCATCTCATCTCGGTTCTGACACTCGGACCATTACTATCTCAGGGTCTTCATGTATGAAATGAGGGGAACATACATGCACCGAGCAGGGTCGCCATAAAGTCGAGCGATGACACAGGTAACGCCCTCTCCAGGTGTCAGGCTATAAGTATAGATCAATGTGAGCATCAAAGAAAAACTGAAAAGTCCAACCAACGGCTGAAGATAAACGCACCGAGGGGAAGCAGGGTTAGGGTCCCAAAACCCAGGAGCAGCTGGTATCCCTTTTTTTTTTTTTTTAAAGTCAGGGTCTCACTCTGCTACTCAGGCTGGAGTGCAGTGTCGTGATCTCTGCTTATTGCAGTCTCGACCACCTGGGCTCAGGCGATTCTCCTGCCTCAGCCTCCTAAGTAGTTGGGAGTACAGGCACACTACTATGCCTGGCTAATATTTTTATTTTTGTAGAGCTGAGGTCTCACTCTTGCCCAGGCTGGTCTTGAACTCTTTGAGCTCAAAGCCGTTCTCCCACCTTGGCCTCGCAAAGTGCTGGGATGATAGGCTTGAGACACCACACCCAGTCAATAGTCCACATTTTGGGGGTTTTTGTTGTTTTTCTTTTTTCTTTTTAGTTGGAGTCTCACTCTGTTGCCCAGGCTGGAGTGCAGTGGGACGCTCATTGCCACTGTAGTCTCCACCTGCTAGGCTCAGGTGATCCTTCCGTCTCAGCCTTCCAAGTAGCTGGAACTACAGGCAAGAGCCACCACACCCGTCTAATTTTTTTTTTAATTTATTATAGAGATGAGGTCTCACCAAGTTGCAGGCTTCATGTCCTGAGTTTCAGCCTTTGGAACATTCTAGCTGCAGGGTAGCCAATGCCCAGGTCAGATTTTGCAGGCAAAAGTAAAACACTGTACCTGCCTGGCCAGAGGGCAAGTGTGAATCAGATTCTGGCTGGCTCAAGAGACAAGCCAGATGGGAGGGGACGGGGTGAGTGCGCAGCTGGCGGGTCAGAAGGAGACTTGGCGCCCCCTGGATGGGACCCGGGGCGGGCAGCGCGGGCGTCCCCGGCAACAGCAGGCCGTTGGCACGCGAGGCCCAGTCCGTACTTGGCGGCCCGCCCCCCGCCGGGCCTCCCTCCCAGGGCCTCGCCCCACCGGGCCTCC